ATTTTTATTCGAGTTCATCATGCCTTTTACATCAAGCTACATCTGACAATAGTTTTTATATGGGATGACTACTTTATATTTTAGACATATTGGGTAGGCAGCTCCCTTCTATCGGCTTCCTGAAACTACATTTGTTTCCACATTTACAGCCCTGAGAGTCACATGAGAAGTTTGTGCAACATCCTTCTTTCTTGGGCAGTCCTTTGCTATATGTCATTCTTCTTCACATTAAAAACATACCTTGCTAATGTTTCTACATTCATAAGAATAATGACCTGTCTTCCCATACTTGAAGCATGTCACTCCTTTAATGCATCCTCCGAAGTGTTTCCTTTTGAATTTGTCACGCCCCTTGGCTTCATTGTTATCCCTGGACCTCTCTCTGTTGGGGTTAGATTTTGAAAACCTTATATTTTTGTTGGATTCTGAGGATCCCTTATTAATCCTCTTCTCCCTGACTTCAGCCTTGGTGGTGGTTCTCCGTTTGATGATATCTTCAAGAGATTTGGCAATTCGGATGGTTGCTTCCAAAGTAGTTGCTAATTTCAACATTGGACCGAAATCCGTTGGTCATCCATTAGCAAACCTCTCTAACGTGGAGGTTTTAGTAGGAACTAGGTGAGAAACTAGCCACATTTTCTCAGTAAACGTTGTCGTGTACTAACTAACTCTCATGTCTCATTTCTTCAGATTCTGGAATTCCTTGCTCATTTCCAACATGTCTCTTTTCTGAGCAGTATTCCCTTTTTAATTGTAAAAGGAAGTCTTCCCATGACATCTTCCATGCTTCTCCCTTTGTCATAGTGATGACCACTCATTTACACTAGCTTAAAACACCAATCTTTAGTTGTTTGGCTGCGAAGATTGTCTTCTGTATATCGCTACAATCACAACTCTCAAATACCATCTCCATTTCGTAAACCCAATCAATTGCTGCCGTTGGCGTTCGCCATCCAGAAAGATTTGGCGGTTGGGATGCCATGAAGTCTCAATACTTGCATCCATATCTATCAAGCTCTTCTTCGGTATTGTCCTCCCTACTCCTTCGTGGTTCAACCTGTCTACTCCTTCGTGGGATGTCATGAACTCTCCATACTACAGTTTCTTTCTTCCGAATGTTCCTTATTTAACTCATAGAAGTTAGTTCATCCTTTTTCTCCTAAAGTAGTCGTTTTGTCTCCTCTATTTTTCGGTCTAGCATGGTTTGCATCATTGCCCGAACTTCTGCCATTGTGATAGGTTCGGGTGCAGGTGAAACGACTGGTGCATGACCCATCACATGCTTAGGCTCAAGCTTTCGACTTTCGTTGATATTTCCTAGTCTGCTACGAGTCTTCACCATGACATTCTGTATACCGAAGCATGAGTTCAATGTATCGTGTCGATAATATATATATATATATATATATATATATATATATATATATATATATATATGGAAGGTTTAGAAACATGATCCTCCTTATTATTCCGAAAAGTTATATGTCAGTTCTAATATCGTAATTAAACTTTTAGAAATCTGAACAGATAAAATTTCCTAATTATAGGTCGACAACAGACCTTAAACATAATAACATCAATTAAGATAGGTAACCTAAGGCATGCGATAATACAAACCATTTAGCACATAAATGGAAATTAGGCATCTTATCCTAAAGTGAGATAGTGCTTGTATCAATTTGGGTGTATTACCTAAATTACAATAGACACTTATCTCACTATCATTGCCTAACATTCTAAGTTTAAGACAAGAAATCCTCTTAATTCCTAGTTCGCTTAAACTAATGCTCTGATACCAACTGTGATATCCCCATTTTCATGACCATTTTAAAACTTTTTATTTATGCTTATTTAAAACGAAGTTTATTTATAAATGCAGAATTTGGTCCCGTAAGAGTATTTTCGAAGAAATGTTTTTCACTGATTTATAAAAGCTTGGGATGTCATAGTTGATACAAAACATAAGCATAAACAGGCTTTACATTGTCTTAGACTAATAGTTTACGTCTCCTTGAATCTCTCATCATTCATGAACATTTGTACTGCTACCTGTGATACAAAGAAGCTAAGTGGGTCAGGTTGGGAAACCTAGTGAGTACACAGGGTTTTCAACCCAAAATAACATAGTTAATATGTTTAATTATCTAACAATTAACCCGATTATCCATCCTCGTTTACTTATTTATTCTTCCCCAAGGATCTATCCTAAGGGTCATCTTAGTCATCGTTGTTGACAGTACTATTATAGGGATTTCTCCGAAATACATGTCAATAGGTTTCTTTCTATTTTCATTCCTAAGGATCTGTCCTAAGGATTATTTTAATCATCATTCCTGATAGTATTGTTACATGGATTTCTCCGCAATACATGTCAGTAGCAAGTAGAGCACATCAAATAGGCACGAAGTCATCGTTGCCCGTGTTCCATAGGACTGTCATCAAATAGCCTGGTGTTTGTCATCTATACTATGTTAGATGACCACATCACCTAATACAATAGTACTAGTAAGTTAAGGCATTTTTATTATTATTTGCATATCCCATCATCTATCTCCCTCTGTATTTTATTCCTCCCTCATTACCCATCACTACCCAATATATTATAGGTAAGAAAATACATATACAATAAATCGTATAAAAATCATCTTATAATATCTTATCTAACACATAACGTTTTTGCACATAAGCATGTGTAGCACTTAATTGTCTAAATACTTCATATCTATGTGTAAAATGAAAGTAACTATGCACTCACTTGATAAAAGTGGATACCTCGGAATTTAGGCAGAACTTCGCCTTTGTACTTTATCTTTTCCTTTGACGTGACCTAGGTTTAATTATCACTAAGTCTTAGTTCAATATTTCTTATGACTAATTAATAGTCTAGATTTCTCAACAATCCCAATGTATACTGAGAGTTCTTTCAAGTAAGGATCAACCAAGAAGGAAAGTTGGGAGGCAGGACCATTTCGGCGTATAGCCCTTATGAAATCCAATAATCAAGCCAACGTAACCACTCTAGACACCTCTCTCTTAAGTAGATCAATCAGTATAACGACATAAAATTACTGATAAATCATATTTATAGATTCATAACAACGAACTATTACTATAAATATAAAGTATACTAAAATAAGGATGGGTGTAATTTAACTTATAGAGATTTCGTAGACAAAAGTCCGGAAATTGCACTGGCAGAACTTCGACTTGATAACTACTACATATCGGGCACATAAGGCTTCGCCGAAGACTAAAACTAAAGGAACATGGGGCTAATATTGATAGAAATTTTGAGAGAGAGAGAGAGAGAGTTAGTTTGCAACGGTATGGGAAACGATCTGATATTTGAAGGCTATATATATATATATATATATATATATATATATATATATATATATATATATATATATATACGAAAAAAGTAGTTACGCGCCGCATATACTGTCTGTGCGCACCGCACACTTGGGTGCTAGCCAAAAGGTGGGAATTTGTTATTGGGAATTCATGAGTCATTGCAAACTGATTTCATATGGGTTTAGTTATATGATCGAGTTCTCAATATGGGAATTCGTTATTGGAAACTGATTTCATATGGGTTTTGTTACGGTATTGATATTTCGGTCTAGTGTTCATCATTTTGGATTTATTTTAGTTTTTGTGATGGATTTGATGTTGCAGGCTGCAATTAAAGCTTAAATTCGTCTTGATTTCTTATCTGGTCGATGAAGGCATTCAATGTTTTCAATTTCTTTTTGGTTTATGATTTTGAATTCAAAGGTTTGGGTTGCATTTGAAATAAAGTGAAGACGAATTGATCTGGTTTTGTCATGAGATTAATCATTTATTATGTGTGTTTATTAAAGTTGTGAATCATTTAAGTTTTTTATGATCAAGAAAAAACGAACTCATTTGTGGGTTTTTAGTTCAGAGAGAGAGAGAGAGAGAGAGAGAGAGAGAGAGAGAGAGAGAGAGAGAGAGAGAGAGAGACCCTTTCCATACTAAATTTCATATTTCATTTAAAAAAAATAAAAATAAAAGAAAACCTTATAAATGGCCCCGGGAAGTGAAATGACGAAAATGTCTTCACTTAACGGATAAAAGATGACGAAGTGAGACTTAAGAACCAAACATCAAAAGTTTTGAAAGCATAGAGACCATCTGCGAAAATTTTAAACTTAGGGACTAAACTTCATATCTGAGAAAAACACAAAGACCATTTATGATGTTTTTTCTTTAATTAATTTTATTTATTTATTAAATTATAGTAATTTTATTTGATAAAAAAAATGAGGTAATCTAAGTGTGAATAGATGAACATGAAATATAAATACACTCTTTGTATTTAAAAAGTCGTTTCACACACCCAAAGAGAGACAATATTTACTTAGAGACTTCATAACGGTGAGTTAATGAGAAAGTTGAACGAGGTAACAACTTTATTTGTCATTTAATTGATTAAATTTTACTATAGTGAAATGTCAACTTGTTATTCAACGAATATGAAGGTCAATAGAAAAAAAAAGTTTTTAATTCTTAAATATAAATTAGTTTTTATAATTTTTCTACTGAACTTTATAAAATTCAACGCATTGTAAAAAAACTGATAAAATTGTATGAAATTTAAAAAAAAGATATAAAAATCGATTAAATTCTATAAAATTCAATCCGCTGTGGATTAATCCATTTAACATCTAAAATATAAATGACCTATTTCGGGCTTTCATCGCGATAGATGTGTTAACATCCATATTTACCAATTTCAGGCTTCCATCTCCATATAGACCACAGTGATGCATGAAAGATAAATTTTATATATATATATTTTTATCATTTAACTGTTACACAGTTTTTATTCATAAATAAAAAAAATTATAATTTATGGAAAGTAAAAATATTATTTTTAGAAAGAAAACAATCTGTATTTTATATTTCAAAATTAAAAAAAAAATCTCTTAAAAGAATGCGGATACCTAGTGAATAAAAGCATAAACCTCTGTGCACTGCTCACTAGTCTCTTGACTCTTCTCCTTCCTCCCCCAAGCTCTAGAAAGATGGGCGAACAACTGGTTTCATATCAACCCCAATCTCTATGATAAATAAGATCTCTTCTTCTCCAAGAAGATGATGACTCTTTTAGACTCACTTTACTGTGAAGAGAAGCACCAATGGGAGGATGACGAAGAAGAACCAGTGGGTAGTTACAGCTGTGTTGATAATCACCCTCAACACACACTCCTCGAACACGACCTATATTGGGAAGACCAAGAGTTATCCTCTCTCATTTCCAAAGAATCCGACGAATGTTTCGACAACAATGGCCACATCAGTCCTTCCGCAAACCACCGCCGTGAGGCGGTGGAGTGGATGTTGGGAGTGGTCTCGCATTACTCATTCACGGCCCTCACGGCGGTGCTCGCCGTCAACTATCTTGATAGATTTTTTGACAGATTTGGAGGGTTAGAATCGGAGAAGAAGCAGCAGCAGCCATGGATGACCCAACTTGCTGCTGTTTCTTGTCTTTCTCTCGCTGCTAAAGTTGAAGAAACACATGTCCCACTTCTTCTAGATCTCCAAGTACGTTTCTTTTAAGGTTTACTTGTGTTTTGTTCTATATGTTTAAAACTAACTCTTTCTCTTGAAATTCAAGATGGAGGGGAGCAAATACGTTTTCGAAGCAAAAACAATTCAAAAGATGGAGATTCTAATACTTTCGACTCTTGAATGGAAGATGAACCCCGTGACTCCACTCTCATTCCTCGATTATATCACAAGAAGACTCGGATTAAAGAGCTATCTCTCTTCCGAATTCCTCAAGAGATGCGAGTGTCTCCTACTATGCTTCCTTCCTGGTAACCATTTCATCACTTCCCTCGCGACTTTTAGTATAAATCATATACATGAGCTTGTTTTAATGATTACTAATCAAGATATGAACTTATATATAAATGCAGATGGTAGGTTTAGGTCTTATCTTCCATCAGTGATAGCAACAGCAACGATGGTGCATGTAATTCACAGTGTAGAGCCATGTATTGGAAATGAATACGAATCTCAACTACTGGGTATTCTTGGCATCAATAAGGTCAACGTCTTTAACTTTTCTTGATAAAACAATCAAGCAGTGAATTTTATGTTGCTTTGTAATTATCAGTCAGTACCTGGGCAGAAAAGATAATTACTTGATCACTTTTTATCTTTCTTTAATTGAAGTTATTACTTATTTGCTTTAAACAGGAAGATGTGGAGGAGTGTTGGAAACAAATCCAGGAGATAACATGTAGTAGAAATGGAGGTCGACATTTCAATAAACGGAAGTTCGGGGCAGTACCCGGGAGCCCAGATGCTGTAATGGATCTGTCTTTCAGCTCCGATGAGTCATGGTCGGTGGAGAACCCATCGGTTCCATCGTCGCCGGAGGGAGGAGCCAAAAAAACCCGCAAGGGTGAAGCCTGAGGGAAGCTTTTGTGTTAAATGTTTATTTGATTTGATGTTAAATTGCCAACCATCTTTGCATTTAGTCCACCTTGATAGCCCCACCAAATTGAGACTTTGAAGTTGTGTGGTGAGTTTTGGAGGTAAAGATGGTCGGCATTTTATCCGGATAAAAAGTAAGAAAAAAAAATGAAATGATTAGAGCAATGTCTTCTTCATTCCCTTTGTAAAATTAAAAAAAAATGAACATATATGTTAATGTCAATAAGAACATTCCCATGGTCAAAAGTAACATGTTTATATTGGTTGTTTTATTCATTTAAGAATTCTGATAAGTTTGAATTTATTTAAACGAGAAAATCATACAAATACCATATTTGTAAAACTAAAAAAATATGAACATATAAGTTAATTTGTGAATCGGACATGGTTGGTTGGATTAATGCTAGGCCGGTGGTTAGAATGGAGCGGGTGATTGTAGAGTTTGTGTGCATGATGGTGATTTGGTCCCTCTATACAAATGTTGTTTTATTAATTTTCTCCAAGTATAAAACCAATTTATTTTCGACAATATTTTTGTGCATTTTTTTGTGTTGGTTTTCCTTTAAAAATGATAAGACTAGTATTAATTTGAGTGCATGATGCTTAATCCAATGTGGTTTTAATTTTGTTTTTTGTTTTTTTTTTTCATTGTTTGCTCCTAGATAAGTTACCATGGTCATATCTGGTTGTTTTCATTTAAGTGTTCTTGGGAGTTCGATTTTTATTTTGCTTTGCCATATTTAATGGATGTATTTAATAAAATAACAATTTTCTTTTACATCATAAAATGAACATTTATTTTGCAATCATGAATATTATGATTGCAAAATAGGAAAAAAGAAATCTCCTTATTATTTAAGATATTTTCTTTGATAATTTATTTTTCATGGAAGATACCATATCATCATGCCTTCAAACTATGTTACTTTAGTTATTTTCTACTTTTAATGTGTTTGCAAGTTTTTAATATTTTTGCAAATGAAATATAACATTTCACAATGCAAGTTTTCTTTGTATTGATATTTGCAAATTTTGAATATTTTTCCAATTGAAATATAACATTTTACAATGCATTTTTTTGTGCTACTAGTCATACATCATTTTATTTATAATATACCCTTTTGATTTGAGAAAAATGTTAAATTAGAGGTATACAACAAGTAATTAGGAATATGTATTTATAAGTATCAATAAATATATTAAAAATGTACATTTAGTAATTGGGTGTATCTTTAAAGTCACCTTTAGTTTAATTTGTATGTAACAAAATATTTTATAATTATAGAGTTGGAAATAAGGATTTTATAACTTATATATATATATATAATATATATATATATATATATCTATATATATATATCTATATATATATATAAAAGATCGGATAGATAGTAGGCTGGGTGTATCTGCTCTAAGCCCACAACCAAATAAGGAACAAAAAATGAAGCGGAAAGCACACATCCTACTACCTGTCGGATCCGATTAATATATATCTTTGAATGCATACACTAAGGAATCATAAGGTTAGTATTATAGGCCCCCTTCTACTGAATGTACTAGACTCGACTGTTCTGTGTGTCGGTAGCAGAGTATGCCTAATCATAAATGAGTATATGGCTAATCATAAATGAGTATATGGTAGAGAGCTATAATCATATATCATTATACATGTTTATATATTTATGCATAATCATAAATGATTATACATATATGTCTGTTCACAGATTGAGTAATCATATATGATTATGACAGTTGGTGACAGAAAATATGGTGGTGGCAGAAATGACGATGGTATAAGTGACGAAGGTGACAGTGGTGGGGTCAGCTGGTGTTAGAGGTGGTGGTAGTGGTGGTGGCGGTGGCGGTTGTGGTGGTGGGGATGGTGGCGGAGGAGAAAAGAACGGGCAGTGTTATATAATCATTTATGATTATAAAATGCATGTCGCGTCGGTACGTCGGAGGGTTAAAGCGGCAGATTTGAAATATGTGGTTGAGGTTGAATCTCAAGATTTCTATTTTATTTTTAATCTCAATGGAACCTACCTCTCCTCTCTCTCTCTCTCTCTCTATATATATATATATATATATATATATATATATATATATATATATATATATAATCACCTAATGTATTATAGAGTCGGAAATAAGGATTTTATAACTTAAATTAGAGGTATACAACAAATAATTAGGAATATGTATTTAATAAGTATCAATAAATATACTAAAAATGTACATTTAGTAATAGGGTGTATCTTTAAAATTACTCTTAGTTTAATTTGTATGTAACAAAATATTTTATAATTATATCATAAATCACCAAATGTACTATAGAGTCGGAAATAAGGATTTTATAACTTTATATATATATATTATATATATATATATATATATATATATCACCTAATGTACTATAGACTCTTCCTCAGAATCCTCTTTCTCGTAATCCACCTCTTGGTATTCTTCGGGACCCTCTTCTGGGTTCTCCTCATGAGCCTCTTCTGGCTCCCCTTCGATCCATCCGTTGGTTGCCATGGTAGGGTAGTAGTGGTCTTCGTGGTGAAATTCAGCCATGCCGTCTGTGCGAGAATAGAGGTATAAGAACTACATAGAGGGTTTAAGTGTATGTTTTTATGGTATCCTAAAATACTCCCTTAGTATTTAAATGTTACGTTTGATTCTTGGTATGTTAGTGTTGGTAAGTGTTAGACTCGTCGTTTACTACGACTATTTCCCAGCATATACTAGTTACACCTCAGATAAATGTAGTTGATCAGGCTATATTTATCCCAAGGCCTAGTTACATATCCCAAGGCCTACCCGTAGTTTTCAACTCATCATACTACTTTTATTATGCCCTAGTTCTGACACTGCCATAACTTGTATGTACTTATACTTTACTTAAAATATTATTATATTTTTAAAAGTATACTTGTAGTCAGAGTGTTTTAGCCCTATTGTATTTATAGTCGTATATCTTGTATGGTTTGATATACTAGTTCACTATAAACAATGCTCTGATACCAATCTGTCACACCCCCAAACCAGAACGGCGGAAACGTCTGGGGGCGGATGGAGTGACTTCATGTACAATATCATAACATTTGAATATAAATGAAACATAACAACACAAACATTCGTACATTGAGATTTCTAGTATTACATTGTTTTCAAAACTCTGTCTGTTCAAAAGTTGAATACAAATAACTGAAAAGTAGGAAAAAAAACATGAGGCGACGACGCCGGCCCTCGAGAAGGGTTGAGTATCTGTCTACTGGTTTCCTGAGAATACAAGTGATTTTGAAAAGTGTCAACAATTAAGTTGGTGAGTTCATAAGAATTTGTATGAAAAGGGTTTGTGACTGTTTCGCTAATCCTTATGTGAGTTATTATGAACTGTAATTGTATGTAATTCATTTGTACTTTTCCTTGTAAAGTAATAATGTATGTTTCCAGAAAATCCGATATTTTCTTTAATATGAACTGTAATTGTATGTAATTCCCTTGTATCTTTTCCTTGTAAAGTAATAATGTATGTTACCAGAAAATCCAATATTTTCTTAAATGTGAACTGTAGTCTTTAACCCTAAGACCAAGATGTAAGTGAATGTTGTACTGAAAATAGTATATAGTTTTATTTCTTTTTATAAAACTAATGAAGTGTAAGCTTCCCGTAAACCAAGTAGTTTCGCTAATCCTTATGTGAGTTATTATAACCATGCTTGATATGACTGATATGCCTGAACGACGTTCTTCAGGCGTCGGAATCGGTAGACTTTTGTCACCCTAGACTTGCCGGTCTAACTGTAGCGAACAACTGAGGTGTGGGGTTGTCAATCCTGTATAGATCTATACACAACGGTCTCGCTCTCCCTCCAGGAGACTCTAGTTATAATGCAGGACTTAAGGTGTACACTAGGTAGGTACGGTGAAGAGAATGTCTCACAAGAGCATTAACTGATTTACGTGAACTATGACTCCTTTTTCTTGTAAGACGAAGTAAGTATATCTTTGAACAATTATATGTATCGTCTAATGTGAAAGTGTGGGTTGTGACTTCCAAACTATACCAATATAGTTTTATGTTGTTTGTTTGAAACTATTTATATAATCTTTTATATAAACATAAATGTGTATTTTTGTCTAATATGAAAATATGAAATCAAAACATAATATTTTGGGTTAACACCCACTAAATTAGTAAATGGCTATAATGTACTCATTTTTGCTAGAAAAGCTATCTTTTAGAAAAAGTTACCAAAACCATGTAGTTTTACTACCATAGATTTTCTTATGATTTTATAACATAGATTATGTTTGTTTTAACAATATATAATATATATATATATATATATATATATATATATATATATATATATATATATCGCAAATATTTATACCAAAAACTAGTATAAACCATAACTTATGCAAATAATATCTTAACTTTAACATAAAGATGAAAACATGTAATTACTTGTGGGATGAACAAAGTTTACTTGTATTCCCCCCCTCCCCCCCCTAAAACATGAAAAAGTTTGAAAATATGGGGGTATGAACTCACATTGAGTGATTTTGTTGGTTGATTTGAGGTGGTGAAGTGAAGCTCTCAAGCCTAAACACTTGAAGAGTTTGATAAACTATTTGCAACTTATGATACCATAAGGATGTCATCCCATAATATATTATGTGTAAATAGGATGAAATCAACAAAATTGTAACGACCAAATTTTTCAAAACAAATTTTTCATTTTTAATTATCCAAAATGCATGTTTATCATCCACAAAACCAGTTACAATTGTTTTCAAAAACATATCAATTACAACTTTATTTCCAAACTATCAGAGTGTCCCATAAAATATCTGCGTGAGAGTGCACGCCGCGCCATCAAGCCTTGCCCTTGCCCTTGGGCTCAGATGTACTTGAAACAAATCCACAAACTGTAAGCTAATGCTTAGTGAGTTCCCCAGAGCATACTACACACAAACCACATACAACATATCATACTAGCTATAACAGCTATACATATCACATAATCCATGCATACATAAAATGCCATGGGCTACCCCACATGGTCTTTACCTAGGACTGTCATGGGCTACCCCACATAGTCTTACATCCAATGCCATGGGCTACCCCACATGGTTTTTACCTAGGAATTCCATGGGCTACCCCACATGGTCTTACATCCAATGTCATGGGCTACCCCACATGGTCTTTACCTAGGAATGTCATGGGCTACCCCACATGGTCTTAT